TTTTTTTTTTTTTTTTTTTTTTTTTTCATCATAACAGAACAGAACAAGTTTACAGGTTCTTTCAGCAGTGGTGCCCCAATATCCACAATGCGACAGATGAAGAAAGTGATGATGACATAGCTTCTCCAGGATGTTGTGCGGCGGATGAAGAGGTTGGCGTTGTTGATTTAACATGTTGATTGCATGTTGCTGTAATGCACTCAAAAATCCTAACATTTCTGTAGACTTTCCAAGTACAGTGTGCATTGCTTAAATTTGTACATTTCTACCCACAGGGCTTACATTTGGTGGAGACATTTTATTCCAATAGTCCCCCAACTCATTCACATCCCAAAGTAAGTAAAGTGTCATGTACTTGTAAGTGCGTCTGTGTTGTGTTCTTGTATTTCAGGTGACTGTAGACCACTTAGTTATTTCATTTAATGGTAGTGTAACTCCGGTTATTTTAGGTTTGGTTCAATTGTCAAATATGTGTCAAATGTAATTATACCCATTTGAGTCGTCTCAAATAGTTATGTTGAACAGTTGATTCAGATAGTAAATGGTTTGAACCCAGGAGTATCAGTAGTTCGTATAGTGTGATCGTCCGGGTGAGTGTAGTTCNTCCGCTCAGGTTGTCGAAACGTCAGTCACCAACAACAGTTCTTTTCAGAACTACACTCACCCGGACGATCACACTATACGAACAGTTGATTCAGATGTTGAACCTAATGGCGTCAAATGTAATGGCTAAAATCTACACAGAATCTTAGAAGTAAAATGTTATTTAATATTAAGTATCCGTAATGTATGTAATCTCATTAGATTCAGCACATGTCAAGTTCCTTGTCTGAATCAAAGTCCAACTTTTGCTTGTCCTATTCGACTGCTGTAGGTGAAAAGAACGACAAGTTTGACCCAATTACAACTGAACTATGTTGATCACAGTTCTGATTCTGACATCCAACTTTAGGTATACGTAAAAGTGACAATAGGTTCAGCACGTGTTACTAAGTTCCACATTTGAAACGCCTTAATGAAATGATTGTCCTTACAGATCTCTAGAGCATTCAGTGACAGTGACGTGCTCAAAGTGAAGAAAGGTTTACGCGGATTTACAACAAAACCTGGAAAAGCTACGAAAGTTATGACAAGGTAGGTTATTCCGACCATCACCTTTGTGGATTTCTCAACTTGCTTTATTGTGGATCGTATCCTGCACCATGATTGGCCACCCGAGCAAGTAACCCTAGCCTGCCCACTCAGGATTACATGCTGTGTCCCGCAAGAAAATAGTGTTCTTTTCCCATATAGTAAATCCTTTGTTCACCAACCTTGTTCGGTCAAGATGGCTGCATGGAAAAAAAAAAAAAACTTGCACAATATCCAGCCATCTTGACCTCACGCTTGGTCAATAACCCATATGTACAGTGTATATATCGTCCTGATGACAGTGGCCTTCGTTAACGGTGCTTTGTTTCCTGTTGTAGGCCTAAGCCATCACCTGACTTTATTGAAGACCTTCTACCAGACATGGATACCAAGTCTGAAATCCTTAGTGAAGAGCATCTGAGAACAGTAAGTTGGTATTGACTTAATGTATCTCCTGCATGTCTTCTGATTAGGCCGAGGGTGGGAGATTACTGCCATTTCGGGCCGATCTGAAACACTGCATTTTACTGTTTTGTAAAATGTAGCCAAGCCTCTGCATGAAAGTGAGGTTTGGGCTGATCTTGTAATGATAAAGATCTGTTTAACAAACTGACTTCAGTTTTTCATGCATCTGCCCTGATATTGACATTGCATTTTGTCGTAACGTTAAAGTAGTCTGCGAATCCACTCGGCTATCACTAATAACAAATTGTCAAATTGTCTCCTCTCGCTCATAGACGCATCACATAAATGATAAATTCATGTGTTTGTCCACTTATTGACAATGGAAATTAGCCAATGAGCACGCAAGGATTCCTGCAGTTGTTTTTAAAAAGTACTTAGGTATGATACATCTAACAGATTAATTTACTTCCTCCACAGGCCTGCCAAACAGAAAAGAAATAAATTAATTGTTCCACTAACGAGAAATATTTTTTGATTAATCACTAAATTCCCTGAAGTAGCATTAGAAAGTATGTCTATAAATCAGTAAGGAGAATTCATGTCTTGAGCTGACATCTTGTTCCGTCATACAGTTAAATATCAACCTTCCCTCGAGGACTATTGGTCACTGCTGGGTGCTGGTATACAGTACATTTCAACATGGCTTCTCGCTCAAGACGCTGTACAGGAAGATGGAGTTTTATGATACCCCGGTGCTGCTTGTGGTTATGGATGATGCACACCAGGTAAATACTAACGCAATGCTTTCAAGTGGTTTACCATGGAATATCCCACAAGTCACTTGTATTTTCTCTGTATGCACCTGATTGAAAAAACGTTGTCTGAGCAAAAGCAGAAACCATAAACTATACATGTACGTCTTTATAGAATGATGGCAAGACTGAGAGAGAGCATGTGCATGATCTGGATATTCAAGAGTTTTTCTTCGTGGCATTTAGTAAAGTCCGGTCGGCTGCCCAAAGTGGTGATCTAGAAGAACATAGAAACTGCCCATGCCTTCCTACACACTGTAGGTAGCTACATGTAAGCTAGAAAACAAAAGAAAATTTGAATGCTTAGAGTTTCGATATATGCCCAAGTTTGCAACAGTACCGTTAGCGAACACGAGATTCGTTTTAATCAAGAGGCAATCTTCATCTGTTGGTTTTAATGCATGTACACGGTCTGTAAGAATGCAAACTAGTGCATCTTAGTTCGTAATTTTCCCAGAAAACCACTGTGTCGTATCGTTTATGGTTTATACTTTTTTCGTGACATTTCTTCAATCAGGTGTACACACATGTCTTTAGGCGAGTGTGTATACAGGGAAAAAGCTAGTGACAAGTGGGATATTCCATGGCATTCAAAGAAAGAGCATTTCATAACCATTTTATACCATGCCCTAGAAAATACAGTGGACAAAATCATTCAAGCGCACAATGGGAAGGCTGAGTTTGATACGGTCGAGTATACAACGTTTTTTTCCTGTATTCTGAGTAGCTGTATTTTTCATGGTGTATTAACGTACTGTAAAATGCTTTTAGGTTGTTACATTTCATGTCATTGGCCTGGATTTCTTCTTTGCTGCTAAAATACCAAAATTCTCTCCTGTTTTTGTTGCCTTACAGATCTTTGGTGCACTTTGTTCTTGTCCACTGAAAGTCAGTGAAGGGTTTTATGGCACTGGAGAATCCTTTCTGTACAAGTTTGATCAGAATGTCATACAGGTGCATGTACAATGTATTTCTTTTTCAATGATTACTGTTTGTTTGGTCAATCTGGTCACTGCTTGTTATTTATAGTCAGTTAGTCAGCTTCCAGTTGTTTGTTCACTCAGTCAGTCAGTCAGCCGGTCAGCTGGTCGATAACTTTGCTTTTGTTTGGTTGACCTATCTGTCCATTTGTAAATGCTGGTCAGTCAGTCAGCTGTCTGTCTGTTATTTAATCAATCAGTCAGTCAGTCAGTCAGTCCGTCAGTCAGTCAGTCAGTCAGTCAGTCCGTCAGTCAGTCAGTCAGTCAGTCAGTTGTCTCTTGGTAATTCCGCTGTTTATCAGTCTGTCGTATATCTGTCTCTCTGTCTGTATGTCCGTCTGTATGTCAGACACTAGAAAAATTATAATAATTAAATAACTTTAATTAGGTGTCAAATGTATTAAGCACTTTTGCACTAGTTGGGGACACTCTAAATAAATAAACAAACGAATGTTGCAAATAGAACGTAAACTGTTAAGAATCCCAACTGGTAGAGACTAGCCAGTTGGCTATTTACATGACGCGGTCGAGGACTACCGAGAACAAATCCAGATAGCCGTAGGGAGAAGGATTGTCTTTCAGACATTCTTTCAGGCAGTCAGTTATGTCGATGGTGAAATTGTTTCTACCTTCTTTTGTTCCAGTCGTTCGGATGGTCCGGTGACAACCACTTTTTTATCAAGGGGTCCAAAGACAGCTTGGCTATCGGTAGTGGAGGGTAAGAGAACAAGGAACACTTGTCATTTTGTTTTCTTGATCAATCCGTGTTGGTAAAGACTTGAAAAAGGCTTTCAAACCTACATCCAAACGCAGTTCTACCTAGGCGCGATTGCCAGCCGCTGTTGGAGAAAAGGAGTCCACACTCCTCAAAGTGTGTTCTGTGCCTCATAGTGGCAACCTGTAAGAAGCATGACGCTCCGAAAAGACGACAAATTTTTACTGCGTTTTACTTAGGGCCATTCCGTTATACAGGATTGTGTGGGTGTTTTTGTCATCTTTCTAGCCTGTGTTTTCAGGTTTTCGGTCGGTAAAAGTCTGTCCCGGGTCAGGGGCCAGTTTCTCGAAAGCCTCTTAAACTTTTCGGGCCCGTAAAGCCGTTTTTAGTTCATCTGTGTCAAAAAACGGAGAAGTGTATATGTCTGAAACTTCTTGTATGAAGGGAACGGCTGTTCATATTAAGAATATGTGAATAAAACAGTTCTGTAATTATAAGGTTTGAGATTTTGCTATGGCTTTCCGGGTGCGAAAACTTTTCGGGACCTTCGAGAAACGGGCCCCAGGCTCAAAGCAAACCACATACTACTGCAGACTGACAACCCGGGTACGTGTGAAGAATTTTCTAGCACTCTCTGTGGTGATTAATCTCGGGCTAAAAATCAGCCCAGGCCCTGTGAAGAGGCCCCTACTGGTGACTTATTTTTTCTCGTCTCCCATCCTAGACCTGCCTCGAGGATACCGGAGGAAATTTATTTTTTATCCTCAAGTAGCGAAGTCACAATTTCACATCCTTCCCCCTTCCGGAAGTTCCCATAACCCCCCCCCCCGGGACAAACAGTTCGTTTGCCCCTGCCTGCAACCTGAATCGTCACTTGCCAGAGATGTTGTACTTTTTGCAACCTTTCCTCGTTACCACCTCGTATATACATCATGGTTTTTCTTTTTTTTTTCCTCTCCCCAGTGGAAACTTCGGTCTGTGGCTGGATGAAGACCTGTATCACGGCAGCAGTCATCCCTGTACCACATACAACAACGTACAGCTGTCCTCGCGCGAAGACTTCCTGTGCAGTGGACTGGAAGCGTGGACGTTCGTCTAATCCTCCACCCCACCCCACCCCCCAAAAGAACACTCCACTTATCGCCGTGTCTTGTCGTAGAGACAAGTCATTGAGCGGATATGAAGGCTTCAGAGCCCTCAGCCACATTGATCACGTGATATCACTGAATTGGTGGCAAAGATTAACTTAAATTAAAGTAAACATGACGTAAATTTTCCAATGTAAGATCGATAGGCACGATTTCAGACACGATTTCTGTGATAGAGTCTCAGTGCTACAGGTCGTTGATACCGTGAACGTCTACAAGGTATCTGAATACGTTGCTCCACCCCTGCGGACACCCGGCTATTATTAGTTCCCGCTGTTAGAGCTTACTAAGTTCAAACCCTCGCTTTGGTTTGTCATCAATTTGTCGAGCGCTCTGTGCAAAATTGAACATTGGGAGATTCATTTTGTCCGGCCCAAGCTCGATGAGAATTGAAGAGAACACCTAATGTAAATTTTAGCCTTGGACTCTCGACGACTGTTGTTCCCGAAGGTGTTCTTAATGGCAGAGGCTAGTTGTATTCAAGTGGTTTTCTGTATCTGGACTGCGTGCTTGAAGAATAATTCAGTCTGACAGTGATATTAGCTAAAATTAATCTTCGTAATACCTTTCGTAACTAATCAGCTCTTTCTTATAGTTTAACCAGCTGGTAACCACACTTGGTACACGTTAAGAGATTCGACTGGAACTTTACCCTGCCCTGATTTAAACTAACATTTTCAAATTGCGTCGCTCGAAGTGCGTTCTACAAGCCTTCTCCAATCTCAACCATCCTTTTTTCTCTATCGTTAGTGTTTGTCTTCCCAGGAAACCATTTCTTAGCGGTCTTCTTCGGATTAAACGTAGTCTTGTTCATCGGAAAAACTAACGGTCTGATATCTCGTCTACATTTGGCAGCGACTTGACCCACTATGGACTAGTGGAGTATACTGCCGCTTACATTGATAGCCAGTATTCTGTGATTAAAGGAGTTAAGTCACGGTTGGCGCGTATTGAAAAGTTTAGCCTCAATTTTTCAAATTCGTCGTTTGTAATCCGTGGAAATCTTCTCCATCCTTAGCCATCCTTGTTCCTTTATGGTTTATCATTATGTCTTTGGTGTTTTTACTATCTTATTAAACTGTTATTTTCAGGTTTCCTACCATTTAAAGGTAATTTTGTATGTGGCCAAAATAACTCAAAATACCGTGACGGAGCCCCTTTCACATTCAATAGTTAACGTGAAGATGTCTACTAATCCTTTCGGCGTTGCAACATGGCTGACTCTTGTTGTAATATTTACTTTGTGATCGTTGAAAACATTGTGGCGATGTTTGGTGTTGGAACAGTTTAACCCAAGTGTAGAATTTCTAAGACCTGTTCATACGCACAAGTATTTGCTACCTGTTTTCGCTTTCTCTCGAAAAAGTTATAGGCACTTCTTTCTTCTATAACGAAATTTTGGAAAGGAAGAGGGAGATATTTATATATCAGTTCAGTTAGTATTTAAGGTTAAAATAATATCAAGAGGAAATATTGGCGAAACGATGATGTAATTTTAGAATAAAAGAACTGAAAATTTCCATTGTGTAGGTGACCTTGATAAACACAGCAGAGAAAGCCAAAATGTTACCATGATACCATTTTGATGACAAGATGTCAATGGATTCTGTCTAAGCCATATGGCTCCAGGAACCTAAAACTTGTTTGACCGGGAGAGGAGTAGAGCAGACAATACAAGCAGGCTTCGCACCCAACCTCCCGCGAGTTTACCAAAAGTCTGTCCAGACCCTCTCTTTTGTCTTGAGTTTGTCGACATCGCAATGAGCAAAAGTATTAGCCGCAGGGGATTTGAAAAAGCCTGAACGCAAGGGGTGGCGCTGGGGAAAGATAAAGAGCGCTCGCATACTCCAAAGAGAAACGACTCGTGGTAACAAAATTCAACGGCTGTGGACAGATAAGTTTACGAGCGACGTTTGGAGGGCTAATTGACTAACACCATCTCGTCTCGCGGCTTCGCCACTCGCACCAGTGGCCCAGACACGACTCTTCTGCTCGGCTACGAGATTCCTAACTGGCGTGTAGACGCCTATTAGTTTCTGTCACGCGGAAAAATAGTGGAGTTCTGCTCTCAGGTTAAGGGACTGCGGGACCATGTGACTGCGGACTGTGTAACTTCGGGAGCAGTTGTGTAATTCTTCACATCGAAATTACTTTTAGACTTCCATTCGGGAGTGCGGGACTGACCTCAAAATGAGCTATAAGACTTCACTTCGGTACGTTAGGAGCAATACGTTGATAACATTTAAATTAAATTAACTCTGACAAACTCGCTTGGCTAGCTTGAGGGTAGAAATTTGTCACTAATTCCTGGACACCGGTGATCTGCGGTAACTGGACAGACCAAGGACTCACACTGAACTTACTTCACGTACAGTCGAACCTCCGGTTGCGACCTCTCCTCAGCGACCAGTTTTCCAAAATACCAAAAGTTTTCAAGTCAAATCACTACATTTAGAACCACATGTAAGCGACCGCCTCGTAAGCGACTGCGACCACTTTCAGCCTGAGCCCAAAGTTTGAAATTTTCTTTTGTTTTTAACCTCCCACAAGCGACCACTTGGCAGGCAATAGAGTGGAAATTAAATAATAAGGTGTTGTAACATTATCGCGTTCCTGGATAGTACTAGAGACGGAAATTTCTTAATGGGAAGTGCCGTATTTTTCTCGAAATTGACTTTTCATATGAATAAAGCATATAATGATAACATGGGTAAGTCTCTGAAGTTACCATATGCTAATGAGGCAAAATTTTGACCCGATATGGTCCAAACCTTCCGTAAGCGACCAGCTAGGCTTGACGTTTTGGGTGGTCGCTTACGGGAGGTTCGACTGTAGTTTAATTCAGTCTTCTCGACTCAGATCAAGGTGTACATCCGAGAGTAAGTCCGAGTGTGATTAAATCGAATCATAGTTTATACAATGCGGCTTGATTTATAGCAAGTAACGGTTGCATGATATTATCGCAGTATATAGCGCGATACTGAAGCACTGAATTTGGGCAGGCAGCTGTCCAAACACCGTTCAGTATTGGCTCACGAAGCAATACATAAAAGATCCAAACAATGCCCCTATCTCTTGGAACAAAAGAAAAGCTACAGGTTACTAGAACCAATGAAAATACAGAAGATGAACTTACTCACGAACTACGCCAAATAACTAAAAATACTATAGGTTACAACATGCTCATTTCACGCGTCACCATTGTCTCAACGAAGGTTCTTGAAAGTTCGGTAAAGAGATGTAAATTAGTTTTCTTGCCACGTTCATGCCGTGTTTTCACGAGAGAGGTTTACTACGGTTACTGCTCACCGAAGTTGCCTAACTAAACCGCAGTTACATGTATTAGAGAAGCTGTTTCCTGACACGGAACTAATTAACTAAAGTACGCCGCATACAACGGCTGGTTTGAGGTTTTCTCGGACAGCAAGTGCTGCAATGTTGCACAGAAACTAGTGGAAAATTATAAAATTTCTGACTTTACTCCAATACCGAACGCAGGTCGAGCCAAACTCTCCTAAATGTAAAACTTTGTAGATGAATAGTGGAAAGGAAATTTTGATATCTGACCGAGCCTCTTCCCTGAAACCTGCTTATCTTGTCTATTTTTCTCTTCTTTACGCGCTGAACGCGTGATCACTTACGCCAAGATGTCGTTACAACGTTTACTTTTCCTCGGTTACTGTCGGTTTCTGAGCTAAACCATGCCTGATGAGGCGTTCAACTATCGACGAACCCAGTTTGGCTTACTTTTGATTTCGCCGCCATTTACTGAGGCTTGCTACTGTGTTGACACGATTAAAAATTTCACTTCAGTAAAGTTAAAACAAAACCAAGGTACACATCTCTCGTGAAAACACTTAATTTGGAAATTACCACAGTTTCCAGTACTTCTACCAGACCACTTCATCATTAACGGTACAATCACTATTAAACTGTCAATAATTTCACTGAAGTACTTATAATTAGGACACTAACATTGAAATTTATTCCCTAAGTTCGCCCTTTCAAGTAATCGATAAGGTTTGAGATTTTACAAAGGTTGTGAATGAGAGTATGGGTTATTAACCAAGCGTACACTAAACGTGATATCAAAATGGCTGGATATTGGCCAAGTTCTTTTTTTTTATTTTTTGGCGTCTTTATGGGCTAAGACGGAGTCTCCTCAGTATTGCATTGCGCATCCCTACTGCGCACGATTTACGCGTCATTACCGTGCGCACACGACCGCGTGCGCGTTCACAACGTAAGAGATTTCCCTCAAGCTAAGTTCGACAGCGAAATAAATGCTCGTTTTTTGTGACCCCCACTTTTAAATGCATGAATTTAAATTGAGTTTAATGACTCTGCTTAAAAATATTTTGATTTGAATGTTTTGTATTTTAAAGAACACGTCTTTAGGTCGTGCTGGGTATGTGCGCAAGCAGAGAATTCTTAAATTTGTAATATAATCGTAACTCCTGTTTAACTAACACCGTTTAAAATGTAAGGACAGGATCTATTTTGTTTAAACTTCTCTAATAAATTAATCCAATAAGTGCTTATCTTAGAATTTCTAGTGCCCCTTTCTGCTAACTAAGGTTGAGTAATGACAACCTCGTCGATCGGTCGCAAAGTTGCTGTAAAGGTCATTCACGTTGCGCAAAACCGAGCAGGGTGACCCCTACTTTTTAATGCATTTTTTAAATAAACATAACTTGATTACGAACTGGATGAAGTTTGAGAAAGTTTTTTTAAAAGACTCCTTCTTTTTAAGTGGAATCACCCTAATAAAAAGTAGTTACGCTGATACAGTAGATAATAAAACTTCTGTTGGTGAAGCACGAACCGTCATCAGTTCTTGGGAAAAACGAATCGGTCTTAAAGACATTACATCAAAATGTTATATGATATCTCGATCAGTATTACAACATACATGCAGAAATAAGGAAACCAGTAGACATCTATTTTAACGAGATCAGCTTTTTCTTCCAATCCTTTGTTTTATTTTTTATTTTGTTTTGTTTTCTTTTGTTTTGTTTGTTTGTTTGTTTTTTTTTTTTGTAGCGCCAGTTGTTTTCCTGTCCGCTTTTCAGCAAAGGGTTTATGACCGTAATATCGCCATCAAAGAAACTTGATCATGGTGGGCATGGGCTATTTAAAAATCAGCCTATCACGATCGACGGTCGATTTTGCGAGATTGACCACCCCATCAAGCTTTTCGCTGGCTTCCATCGCGTTCCTTTTTCAGTTCCTGTTTTCTAGGCTAACCGGAATGATTTGTACTGTCTTTGGCTTCACCTCTTATTCATAGCCATCCGTCTTCGTTTGATGAGAAACTTCATGTACCATGCCTTGGTGCATATGGAAAGCCTGTGGACCCGAACAATGCATTAGCTGGCTTGACAGGCAATACCTACAATAACGCTACAACCATGATTATTACCTTTGTGGTAAATAACTATCAAGACCAAAGCAAGATGGCCGAAGTAATGGCTTGGGAAAAATCCTTCGTAGAATACATGAAAGAGTATATCAACCACAGTTCCCATGCCAACCTCACCATCCCACTACTCCACTCCAGAAAATGTCCAGCATAAATCAAGAGTGTGATGAACATACCGGGATCTCGCGGATTGTGATGAACGTGATCACTCAGAGTGGGTTATTTCGTCCATGTTCGTAGCAATCGGAGCTTGCTGAATATTTCTTTGTCGGTGATTTAGTTAACTCCAATAGAACCAATGACAATACATAATTACTATTGTTACTCATAACTGAAGTAAAAAAAAAGATAAAACCAAATGTAAACATGAAATGTACTTAGCACCACGTTAGTACGTATGTATGTAGTTTGAATGTAATTCTAACCTTTGATTGCCTATGGTAATGATTAAAGTGTCACTAAGCTCAAAATATTTTTACCTCAGTATATCTTGTAAACAGATTTCCTTGCCTCAAGGATCACCGATGTGAAAACAACTTTGTAGCTATTTGCTGTAATTTTCCATCAATGTTCAAAGTTCGTAGTCGTACTCGGTTGTGAGGGAGGAGCTCATGGCTGCTGCTCAAGATTGAATACGAGGCAACAAAAATGGCATTTAATGAGCTCCGATGAGGCGAGACTGTAAGTGCTGTGGTTGTTTCTGTCACTTATGGTCGCTTTGGTCCCTCTTTGGGGTGAAAACAATTTCAAGCCACGTCCACAAAACATGATCTTGGTACCACTCTGAGGTTCTTTTCAGAATTTCCAACGAGCACCACCGTCCTTTCTAAATAGGAGTTCCCCGGGCTTGCACCCACTCTTTTCTTCCCCCACCCCTTCACCACGCTAGGGCTCGTAGGGTCGCTTTGAACGTTTCGTAACTCCTGTCGATTCAGTGGCATCAGGCATCCGGCATCAATCGCGTATCTGGAACCCACGTTCTTTTAGACCCGCGGTCTAGGAAGGAGAGAATATGAGAGAAGCACGGTGCTTCTGCGCCTTAGCGTTGTCGGAACGTTCCTGGACTAAATCGATTTAAGTCGATATATGGAATCCGTTTTCAAGTGATTGTGTGCTATTTTTTTTCAGTTTTTGTTTTGTTTTGTTTTGTTTTTTTCAGCTGTAAAAAACACTTTGAAGAAATAATAGCTGCTGTAGTCATCTCTTGTGAGAGCAACCCCCTTTGTCCCTAGTCCACTCGGTCGAATATCTATTTCTAGTTCATTAAGTGAAATTTACAACGCAACCAATATCAATAAAGAGCCAAAGGTTTTATTAGCCTCCCTGTTACTATCCTGTGACTTCGGAAGTGTGGGAGTGCGGGAGTGCGAGAGTGCGGGAGTGCGGGAGTGCAGGAGTGTGGGAGTGCGGAGACACTACTTTCACTGCCCTTTCTTTGGATTCTACTTCGACTCCGGGAGCTGGGCGGGGCTGCAGGGGCACTTGATTTACTGCCCTTCTTCTTAATTTTCCTCCGAATCCGACTCCGGTCCGGGAGGAGCCCGGGACTACGGGACCATTTGTTTCACTGCCCTGCCTTTTAGCTATAATTCGGCTATTAGATGGCGCATGCTAACCTGCGAGTAAACGCCTACTACTTTCTCTCACGCGAAAGAACAGCAAAGAAAAAGTACACGTCTGCACACATGCAGGCTACGGAACTGCGGGACTGTGGGAGCAATTGTGTTAAGTGCTCGCGAAAACATCAAATTATAATTTACCGTAATACCTAGAGAATAAGTTTTTGTACCCGTTTCCCTTTTTCACTGTTGAAACCGTGAGTTAGATAAATGTGGTTTGTCAACATCGCACCGGGTTGTTCAGGGGCAAAATGCATATGAAATGCGTTTCTTAACCGTACCTTTTTGAAAAAGGTTGCCGAGTTTCCCTTAAATTCTGAGCTACAAGTCGTTGATTCCTTCACTTCGGAAGCAGGGAAGTAGTTCATTAGTAATGCTCTTGGTTGAAGTTGCTCTAAATTTCCTCACCATCTGTCCCCTTTTTCGAGAGCTCCGGTGTTTTTCCTTGTCTGACAAGCGCCCCAAGGCCTTCCTTTCAAGTAATTGATACGGTTAGTGATTGCTTTCTGTGGCCACTAGAAACAATAATTACTGCTGACGTCACCATCATCATGTCTTCATGCATGACATCTCTTCAAAACGACAAAATTATGATATCTGGTTTAATATTAATACTTGCAGAAATAAAGAAACAATTAAACACTCAATTATTTGCTTTATTAAAAAGAAAAATCGGGTAGGCTTTTAATTCAGATCGTTTGTTTCCTTCTGGCGCTAATTTTTTTTTTTTCTTTTTTTTTTTTTTTTTTTTTTTTTTGGTCCGTTTTTCGGCAAAGGGATCGTGACTGTCTTAAAAGGAACTCAATCATGGAGGCACGGGCTGTTTACGAATCAACCTATCACGACGGTCAATTCCACGTGATTGACCACGGCATCAAGCTTTTAGCTGGCTTATATCGCGTTGCTTTTTCAGTTCCTATTTTCTTGGCTATAACCGGAATGTGCGTATTGATATAACAGAGACATAACGATACGGCTCATTTCTTACTCTCTCCACGATTCAGTCTTCAAAGTGTTTTTTCGGTAAAGGAGTCGTGACCGTCATGAAAGAAACTTGATCATGGATGCACGGGCTGTTTACGAATAAACCTGTCACTACGGTCAATTCCACGTGATTGACCACGGCATCAAGCTTTTAGCTGGCTTCCATCGCGTTCCTTTTTCAGTTCCTGTTTTCTTGGCTAAACGGAACGATTTGTACTTTCTTTGGCCTCGCCCTTTTAGGACGATCCTCAAGTAACTGAAGCCAACATGGCTGGGTCTGCTTTGATCGTTAAAATCTTGACTTGTGGAACGTTTCTTCTCTTCGCAGGAGTAGATACGGTAGGTTATCTTCATTTCGCGTCTCACGTAGTAGTTTCGATATAATCAATAAAATCGAGATAACATGCAATAGTTACCCGATGCCCGTTACTCGGCGAAGGCTGCTTTCTCGCGTAAATTGTTTTAAGCTCATATCTGGGGTCCACCGGCTCAGTTACAAGCCGGATTGCGAAGCATGTAGTACAATAACATTGCCTTGAAGAGTACTCTTGAGATGAATGGAACTGGTTTTTTGTTTTGTTTTGTTTTTTTTGTTTTTTTTCTGCGCTATTCTCGTTTAGATTAAAAGCGATAAAGTCCCAATTCACAAGAGGGGTTATTGCGTGTGGTATGGTCAATGTACGTCTGGATATAAAGCTAAGAACTGTCTGTACAACGGACCGGCGAAGAAATTAACCGATCCCAAGGGTTTGAAGCTGTTGAACACCTTCTGCCCTGAATTAAGTGGTCAACATACTTGTTGCTCGACGAAGCAACTGATCGCTTTGTCCGCGATCAAAGTATTCGTTGGCCCGCTGACAGCTCGTTGCCCTGCCTGCTGGAGCAACTTGAGAAGATTGTACTGCCAGCTGACTTGCAACCGTGATCAGTCCATGTACATGGACCCCATTAACGTCGATAATAGTACTGGTCACGCTACAATATTAGACATCAACTACTATGTTTCCCCTATCTTCAAGCAAGGTCTCTTCGACTCTTGCAAGGACGTAAGGAACGGGAAAGTGCTGTCTTTGCTTTGTGGGACGTCAGCGGAGAAGTGTACAGCAGAAAAGCTGCTGAGGTACATGGGAAATACAGACAATGGATTCGCGCCGTTCAATATCTATTACCCGGAATCGCTGGTCGACGACTTGTCTTGGATGGACATAACTGTTTTCAAATGCAACAAGCCGTTTATCGATCCCCAAACCAAAAAGAAAGCGAGTGCTTGCAGCTGCCAAGATTGTGCAGCGTCCTGTAAGTTTCGAACAGAGCAGCTGATCATCACATCAACACATCCCAGTCCTACTGGACGTGTCCGCCATAGAGACGGAAAGTGGATTCCATTTGGTCCCATATTTCATCTGGAGTTGCTAAATCAGGTAATTACCTCTAGCGAGATCAATTTCTAGATGGAAGTTTTGCTCCCGTATACAGCTATTTAATATAAATCTGCCAGCGCTCTATCACGAATGGCGTTCTCTAATTTAGGATTTAGATAATAATTTTAAGAAAACGACAAAACGTTTGAGTTTATGGAACATGTTTCGACTAAAACTTCTGTTATCTTCAGTTAATCTAGGTACAAAGCGATGGAAGTTGAATTTATATTTAGTAGAAAATGCTAATTGTGATAAATAGTAACAACAGAATGATAATTTTAATTAGATTAACAAGGTGTAATTGCTGATTCAAAGAGGGCTGTTCTCTCTGAATATGAATAACCTCTTTTATCTTAAGTTGAAAACTGATGGAGGCGTCATCCAAAACATGGAAACAATCTGCTGAACACGAGGCGCGACAATGTTCAGAATTTTGCAGATGTTTGAAAATGTAAGAGGCCCTGTCACTGGCTAAATGCTCTTTCACTCGCGAGGAAAAATGCCGGACCGTTTCGCCGACGTAACAGCCATTACAGCCCGCACATGCAAACTTGTGAACCACACGTGAACGGAGCCCGCCATGGATATGGTCTTTCACGCCAAACATGTGACTGATCTTAAAAGAAGAAAAAGCTAATTTGATATCTAAATCATTGCAATAGCGCTTGACGAAATGGCGAATCTTTTTTTGAGTAATAACAGAAAAATGGTCTATGTAGGGTAGCTTAAAGCAAAACGTGGGTGAAGTGGTAGGAAGAGAACCCTGAGGACAGTGATTACTTTGGGTCCCAGTGATGTAACGATTTATAACCTTTTCAATTAAATGAGCAGAAATAAGATTCTTTTTAAGGATATCCATAAGCTTAGTGATATCCTCGTGAAACCCTAACCAGGCGTCATCAATCTTATAGCCACTATCAACGAGAGTTTTATTGACACCCACTTTGTAAGAGTACGAGGTAAAGCTAAAATAATTAGTTAACAGCCCAGTGAAGTTTTTCTCATGGTAACCTCTGGTTAGAGTAAAATTGGGGTTATTACTGTCGATCAAGACGTCTAAAAAGGGTAATTTGTGATTAACCTGTTTTTCCATGGTAAACCTGATGCTGGGGTGCCTTTAGTTGAGATAGTCGAAAAATATAATGGCATCGTGCTCCGAGTGAAATAAACAATAAGTATCATTAACATACTGGCGATAAAATAAAATTGTAGAGTTGTGAGTAATCATAATTTTTCATGATGTCTCATAAAAAGATTAGCTAATTAAGACGGGAGTAAGTAGGGACCCCATGGCTAACCCATCTACTTGATCATAGAAAGAACCGTTGGATACGAAATGAGTCTGGGCGGTACCTGTAGTAAACCACAATCTCCAAGCGCCACACATTCCAACTGATCACTGTGCCACTGACACTTTTACTGTCGCACAGGACATCCAATCGCTATCCATGTTGAATTCACTTCTTCTGTCATGATTGGGTGGGATTTTAAAGATTCAAAGATCACACTCAGAACATATGAGTCAGTTACGTCAGACCCGAAGGAACAAGATCCGGGGAATTTTTTTATTACGCTATGTACTACATGTATGAGGTCGCATTCTGCAACAATCCATGTCTCGTAAATTTCTGGTTTCTTTTAATATGGAAAGTCTCTTTACTAACTTACCCCTTGAGGAGTGTATTGACTTTGCGGTCTACTACATTTGCGAGGGTAATCCAGACCTCAAGTTAAGTAAACCTCAACTTAGAAGCCTCTTTTCTTTAAGGCCAAACGTTTTGTCGTTTTCTTAAAATTCTTGACTTGTCTGCTACTATCAAGAAGATTAAGGTAACGTTTTGGACGTCTACTAGATTTCTAAGCGTGATAATCATGACTCCCCTTACCAAATACACGATAGAAAATACGCTCTCATAATTCATTCAATATATAGTATACAGCTACTAAACAAGCTAAATTTTTCTTGCCGAGTTGGTTTTTTGTTCTTGTGCTTGTTATGTGACACCGACTACCGAAATTGCGATGCTGACAGCTCATTTTATCGATGATACACATTTTAAGATCCGGCTATTTTGCTCGACTCCAGCTTCGTCGCATAAATTAATTAGCTGGTGTAGAAAGCTCTGAAGAACTTGAAATTCTTCCATGATTGCCAGAGTTTTAACCAGTCGTCTAACTAATCAATTTATTTTAAGCGTCATCGTCGATTATAGAATAGAAAAATCCCACATTGCTAAATCTGAAGGTCACATTTTATCCCCTCAGGTCGCCAGACTAGAGAGATCTATATATATGTGCTCGTTAATTTGATGGAAAATGCACTTGTTACAAGCGAGTGTAGTTCCAAAAACGAAGATCGAAGAACCGAAGACCTGCTACGAAACCAAACACCCACCGCGAAAATCACTTTTGGAGCGAATACCAAATTATCTTGAAAGGTTTAGCCTCAATTTGATTTTCAAGTTCGTCGTTTGTAATCCATGTTAATTCTCTCCATCCGTAATTAACCATCCTTGTTCCTTGATGGTTTATTATTATCTCTTTGGCTCTTTTCTATCTTAGTAAAGTACTATTTCCAGCTTTCCTTCAATTTAAAGGTAATTTCGTACATGGCCAAAACAACCAAAAATTGTCGAGCTCTTTTAAGGATGTGTGAAATATCATCAGAATGAATATTAATTCTGAAACTTTATCCTCATAATTACCGTTTAGACATGCCCTATTTCTTACAGTTCTAGATTAATTCCTTTTGTTTCGTCGCAGGAACCGTAACACTTATCAGCCAGAACATCACAGTGACTGTTTATCGACGATCTGCTAGAATTGATACATTTAATTTTCTCCCCATAGGCTTTGGACCTCCAGAATCACATCACCAACATGAAGGTTCCTTTTGAGGGTTCCTACATCACTCTCCAAGACATCTGCTTTCAACCACTGGCACCACAGAACAAAAAATGCGCCATTCCAAGTATCTTCCAGTATTTCCAAAACAACAAAACCAGGCTGAACAAATGTCTCACCAGTTTGGGCTACAACTGTTCCGATCCACGCGCGAAATTTGACTTTCGTATGGCTGATTTTCATGATCATCTTTTATTTTGTCCAGGGTAAGTTTTGTGTATCGTATCAGAAAAGGGGATAAACACCAACCAAAAATTCATTTATAATCAAATGATTTCGAGTTTAATTTGGAAAGAGTAAGCAAAAGTAAAAAAAAAAAAAATTCAAAGCCTAAATCTCTTAGAGTGCATGGACCACTCTCCGCTAAGACGTTTGGCCTGTAAGAGTCCTTTACCCGCTCTCTCCACCGCAGAGGCTCGATCAAGGGTTTTTTTTTTCGAGTAGGGAGAATCCGCTTAATGATATGAGTGCAGGCGCAGGGTATTCGACTTTGCGTCTGCAGACACCTCACACAGCGGCGTTCTATAACGAACGTTTCGAACCTCTGCGGAGGAGATAGCTTTACCCCCCTAAGGCCAAGCGTGCTACACAAAAAATCTCGTTGTTTAATTTGTTGCCCATTCCGTAGTAACCTAGGAGGACAGGCGAGGACACGAATTTACGCTGCGCAGTAGGGGAGCGTGAGGGAAATGGGGGGGGGGNGGGGGCGAAAAGAGATAACGTGTTCTATCGCAGGTGTGGAAAGAGTAGGAAAATAAAGAAATTTCCGAGTGATCTGGGTGTCTAGTGGGACTTTACGGAAAAGTACTTTGTTTCAGTAATAGATCACTAATGTCGCTAACGCGAGAGCTCAAGCGAGGACCGCGAAAACTTTTACACGAGCGGGGAAAACAAGAGACACTTAGAGCATTGTCCATGCTCCTCGCAGCTTTGCCTCTGCGTAAGCTAAATAATCGCGAGGAGAGAGGATGAATCGTGAGGAGAGAGATGCGAATCTTATTGAGTAAGGGAGAGGGCTGGGAGCTAAAACTTAAATTTTATCCTTATTTGTGGCTTATTTATTTGTCATAGCAATCCGTCTCCGTTTGATTGGAAACTTGGATTACCGTGCCTTGGTGCATTTGGATGGCCTGTGGACCCGAACAATGTATTAGCTGACTTCACAGACAATGCCTACAATAACGCTACAACCTTGATTATTACCTTTGTGGTAAATAACTACCAAGACCAAAGCAAGATGGCCGAAGTAATGGCTTGGGAAAAATCCTTCGTAGAATACATGAAGGAGTATATCAACGACAGCTCCCATGCCAACCTCACCATCCGCTACTCCACTCCAGAAAATGTCCAGCATAAATTAAGAGTGTGATGAACATACCGGGATCTCGCGGAGTGTGATGTAACGTGATCACGCAGTGTGCATTGTTTCGTCTATGTTCGTAGCAATCGGAGCTTGCTGAATATTTCTTTGTCGGTGATTTAGTTAACTCCAATAGAGCCAATGACAATATATAATTACTATTGTTACTCATAACTGAATTTAAAAAAAAAAAAAAACAAGACAAAAACAAATCTAGACATAAAATGTATTTAGCACCACATTAGCACGTATGTATGTAGTTTGGATGTAATTCTAACCTTTGATTGCCTACGGTAATGATGAAAGTACCACTAAACTCAAAATATTTATACCTCAGTATATCCTGTCAATAGGTTTCTTTGCTTTACTGCTAACCGATGTGAAAACACTATCGTTGTAGCTATTTGCTTTAATTTTCCATCAGTGTTCAAAGTTCGTGCTCGTACTCGGTTGTGAGGGATCGAGGAGCTCATGGCTGCTGTTCTGGATACAATACGAGGTAACTAAAATTGCATTTGATGAGCGCCGACGAAGCGAGACTGTAAGTACTGCGGTTGCTTCTGTCACTCAAGGTCTCTTTGGTCCCTCTTTGGGGTGAAAACAATTTCAAGCCACGCCCACAAAACATGATCTTGGTACCACTTCGGGGTTCTTTTCAAAATTTCCGATAAGCACTCCCGTTCTTCCCCGAGCGTACACCCACCCAAGGTTTAGATCCTTTCTTTTATACAGAGGATATATTTCGTAGTTATTAAATTGCGAAGTTTATGGTTCTTTCTATTATACAGAGATAGTATTTCGCAGTTGTTAAATTGCGAAGTTTATGGTTCTTTCTCTTATACAGAGATAGTATTTCGCAGTTATTAAACGGCGAAGTTTTTGGTCCTTTCTTTTATACAGAGGATATATTTCGCAGTTATTAAGACGAATTTTTATATGGTTGTGTCTCACGAGGACTAGGAACTAGCGAATTCACGATTTTGATTGACTAAAATCGATATTGAAAGCGGTCTAGATTTTCCCATCTGGACGGGCATCTAGACCGGTTACATTTTGGGGTGAAAAAGTTGCAAACTAAAACGCAAAAATATTGACTATATTCTTCTAACAATTTTTATTTATGAAAGTGCCAAAAAGCCTGATGAGAAAAAAGTAAAGAGCAAACTTTAATTTGGCAGAATTAAGTTCGCCTTACCGCCGCTCGCGAGCAAAATGTTAGTTAGTACAAACCGGCTAGTTACAATAAACGAATTAAATTGTTCTTGTTTGCCATATAGTAAACATCTTATTAACTGAGCTTAGTCGGTCTGTATGGGATAATCTTGACCTCGGTCGTGTGTACAGACCTCACTGCGTT